TCTTAAGAGCTGGGTCAAGCTGTGAAGGAGGGGTTGTTTTCTGCAGCCATTTACAGTTGTGTTAAGCATCAGATATTCCATGCTGCCATTTACAGGTGATGGGGAATAAGATTTGGAAAAGCTTCCTGGGAAAACCACTATTCTCCTCTCCTCACTGCAATGAGAAATACATTTGCGTTGGGTGTGTGGATGGAAACGTATATTGTTACACTCATTCTGGAGAAAAGGTGAAAGTGTTGTTGGGTTTTTTTTTTGTTCATCACAAAACCCTGAATAAGATGCTTTATTAATACTGTTTTCTGAGATTTAATGATTGACATATACCTTTTTGTGAACCAAATAGAAGTGTCTATTGTTATAGAGAGGAGAAAGTAGAAAAACTCTTTGCCTAGGGTAGTCCATGCAGTTCATGGCAAAACCGCAAAGTCTCAAGTTGCTTAATGCAGGAAGAGAATTTCTAGCTCAGAGCTTACACCCAAAGTAAAGGGTCAAGAGTAGTGCCAGCAAATGAAATGGTATGGTTTTGGAGTTTTTCAAGCTTGTTTAAAGCTCTCTCTTCTGTACGATGGTGGCTATTTAGAAGTAAAGGTTTCTTAGAATGTTTATGCATTTATCAAAAAATGCCAAATCATAATCCTGGCAAAATATGTGTCAGGTTCACGTTGAATTAAATGAGAATTTTTTTTTAGTTCCTCAGAGATGAATGTGGTTTGTATCTGGTGTTAAAACAACTGACACTGTTTCTGTTTGTTCACCTGAGATGCAGTATACATGGCAATTCCTAAGCCTTTCCCGATTATAAAATATGTGTTAGCCCATGCCATGCTGTCTGCTTGCCGCAGTGTTGCAGAACTGATACTCTCTTGAGGAGGGATCTGCACATCATTAGCATGAGCAGAGGAAATCTATGTTACAAAAGGAATATTTGCCTTTTTGGCAAAGAAGGGAATTCTCAAAGTTCATTACTAATTGTACAACAGCCCAAGAATATTTTTTTTTCCCAAGTTGGCCATCTTTACATGGGCCTCACAGAATGTAGTAACTCTTGCACATCTATTTTATGAGTCTTTTTATCACTTATATGCTGTATGTAAAACTTAACTTGTAATTTGACAAGTATTTACAAGCCCTCACTGAAATCTAGTATGCTCTCAAAATAAAATGCTCTCCTGTCAACAATGAGTCTATTAAAAAAGTACAGTTGCTTTCAAACTGATAATGTGAACAACCTTTGATAATGGGCGGTTATGTTCTTTCTGTAGGTTTGGCAGTTTTCCACTAATGGACCAGTGTTTTCATCTCCATGCATCTCAAGTTTAACTAAGCAAGAAGTATTTTTTGGCTCCCATGATTGCTTTATCTACTGTTGTAACATGGAGGGTAATTTACTGTGGAAATTTGAAGCCACTTCAAGTGTGTATGGAACACCATTTGTTTTCCAAAGTGATGACTTAAAGAACAGAATTCTTTTGGCAGCAGTATCTACAGATGGCAAAGTGTGGATCCTGAATGCCAAGAGTGGAACAGCAGAAGGAACAGATAAGCTTCCAGGAGAGGTTTTCTCTTCCCCCGTAGTATGGGGAACAAAGCTTGTTGTTGGCTGTAGAAATGATTATGTTTATTGCCTAGATTTGTATATAACAGGAAAAAAAGAACAGCTAAGATGTTAGGCTGCTTCCTTTTTATTGTTTACATTTGTAAATTAAGAATTCACAGGCGCTCTCTACCTGTCTATTTTACTGCAAGCAAGAGGTGCTCTTTGCAGACCTCTCAGGTAGCATTTTGCACCATTCAGTGTCCAGAATAGGTAAAATGATGGTTGTTTGATTTCCTGTACTGATTGAAAGAGGTTGGCTGCTCAGCACCCAACCAGAAGTTTCATTGTCCCTCCCTCATTTCCCAGCTCCAATTCATGAAAGAACATGAAAGATGTTTTGGGGTTGAATGTTGTGCTTTGACCTGTGTAGTAAGAAAATGAAAGTCAGTAGTTTGGCTTCAAACACAGGATTGGGAGAAATTGTGGTAAGGTGCCATACTCTGCATGTCTCCATGAGGGAGAAATGTATTCCCTTCTATGAGTCCAGCCTAGCCTGTGCCCTGAGCTTCCTTCCTTTCCTTGCCTGTGTCCGGCTCTTCTGTGCATCAATGAGACTGGTGTTTATCTGGTCCGACAAGGTTTCTATGCTGTGGCAAGGTAACCCAAGTCCTTTTTTTAATCTATTTTTTAACTTGATTTCTGAAGACATAGCCTGTATTGCATATACCTGGTAGTACTGACCTGTTTACGATAGTTTGTATAAACTGAATAGTTCGTCTTTTATGAGCCTAGGCCCTTGTTGGCTTCAATTCAGTCAAGCATATACTTAAACTCTGTTGAAGTCAGTAGGAGTTACTTCTTGTATTCTAAAGTGAAAAATATACTTTCATGTGTATATTTATTAAATTTCAATGACAGGTACAGTATGAGTTCCAAGATGAAGTGTGCACTGCTCAAATCAACCATTGTCAAATCATTTTTTAAGAAATTTGAATGAATGCTCTCTACAGTGTCTTTACAGAGAACTATTAATAAAGGGTTGTGTAAATTGGTTTTGGTTGTCTTTAATGCCTTAGAAGAAATTACCAGTGGTCTTAGTAATGCTAGTCAAGTGTTTGCAGTGACAAAAGTACGCTTAACTGAGAGCATCTTTCTGATTGTAAGTCTTCTAAAAGAACTATAGTAGAAACTATTATCTCACTCTGTCTGCTGAGACTTTGAATCCTAACATCTTCAATTAAAAAGTAAAGTAGAAGTTGCACTTGCTATGTTGCTTCATCACGTCTGGTTCCTCCATTGTATTGTTAGCAGAAATGCATAGACAGGGCAGTTGTAGCACCGTAAAAAGTTCTATTTATAAAGCAAATGTGACCTACACTATTAGCAAAAGGAGACACAGAATACATACATCATTGATTAGATAATTTTGACTGGGTTATAGTTTAATAAGAATTAAAATGACATTAGTATAATAAACAATTGCACTTTAAAACATTTGAAAAATTAAAAAAGTACACAACAAATACCCCACAATTATACATCTTATAGTTTTTATACATTACTATATGAACATAGAGGTTAATCATATATATAACCTTGTCAGAAGAAATGGTATTTTGTGTGTATAAGTTACAAAAAATTGAGACAATATACTACATAGTGGTTTGTTTGGTTCTTAAAACATTTTTGCTGTTTTAAACTTGGTAGTAATGTTTTGGTTTTATTTTTACAGATTTCCAACAATTTATCAGAAATGGTTGCAACAAAGCTAAAGCAAAGTAACACTTCACTTCATTGGTATTTAGTGCAAATTTTTGTTAATTTAACATGAAATGTCACTGTTGAACATGTACACTTTAGAAATGTTTCCATCAAGTACTGTACATAATACAGTTTCCAGGATTACACTAGATACCTTTATGGTTGAAAAAAAACCTCTGCTTTGAAGCTTAAGACCATCCTTAATGAAAGCTCTAATCTATGTGCTATAATGTATTGTATTGGAAAATTGCATCCTTATGTCATGCACAATAGCACCTAATTTTGCTATGCTTTTCAGAATACCAGTATCTTTAATTCTTTAATCCTGATTTACTCCACCTTCTCTGTATTTCTGCCTGGCTCCTTCTCCCAAGACATAATCATAAAGGTGGATTTCAGGAAGTGTAGTTCTTGTAATTACAAATACGTACCACAGGCTTATAAACACAGAAAAAGTGTAAATTTAACATAAGCTGCACTAATTCATGGTGCTAGCAGAGCAAAAATAGTTATGGGCCCAGTTCTTTCTTCAGATAAGCTTGCAGAGATTTGACTTTGAAGGCTTCCCCCCCCACACCCTGCCGCCCAAGCTTTTGAGAGCAGCATTGCCCCATCTTTGTATAAAACATTTTAAAGACATATATTAAAGGTAAAAAGTTACTTTAGAGATTCAGGTTTTAAATATGAAACTGAGCAAAACTGATGGCTTAAGAGACCCAAGAAGACCTATCTTGCTGCTGCACATCTACTCAATCTAACACGTCCGTTGTGTTTGTGCTATTATAACCATGATACTGAACTGTTGTTTTCTGTTTGGTGGGAAATAGTGTATTCAATAATGACTTTTGCTGACAACCCCTTTTTTGATTCTTGGAACGGGAGGATAGGGCAGGTTTCATTCTGTTTTCTGCATAATTTAAAGTGCTACTCCTCATGCTGCATACAGCAGTTTGGCTAAAATACTTCCACAAAACATATGCAGTATCGTTCTATAATGATGCAATTTCTTCTCATGAAAATGTCTCCCTTTATGATGATACGGTCTTAAAGGCTCCTTTGAGCCTTATGGTTATAAGGAGATGTTCAAATTTGTTAAAGGCTTCCTTGTAAAACGAACTCGGGTGTGTTACAGATTTATTTACTAGGGTGACTTTTAAAAATGTAGACCTAGCTACTTCTGTGAGATGTTGAGGATAGTAAAGGTTTTATTACAAGGACTTTATCCTTTTTTGTAAGTAAGTGGGAGGGGGTGAACATTTCTATTTTAGTTACAAGAAGTAATAAAGTGTTCAATTGCCACAGCAAATACCTGAGATGGGGTAAGTAAACTTCTGTCTGAAGTGTTCTGGCTGTATTGGTCAAAGTACAGGAAGTCGTCTGAACTACCTGAAGTTGCATGTGGAGTAAAATCAGGAAGAATGCAGAGTTAAAACTCCTGAGATTCTCACTGACTTAGCTTTCAGTTCTCAGTTAACTTCAGTTTTGCAAGTCTTACTCCTGTGGGAACTTACTGAGACAAATTCTACAGCTACATGAGCGCAGGAATAGTTTTACTTGTTTTAGTGCCAGTCAATTGATTTAAAATTGTAATCTGCAATCACTGTCTCCACACATTTTAGTATGGCCAAGCACAAACAGTGATGCATTTAAATGACTAGAAGAAACGCCGACTCCCTGGCTTCTTTCTAAAAACTCTCTGATTTTTGTTTGAATAGTGGTTTGGGGGTGGTGTTTGTTAAGTAGGATGAATTGCTTTCTTCCTAGGAGTGAGTGACTATTGACATAGTGTATTAATCCTATGATGAAAGAAATTACCTCAGCATTTGGATGGTAGCATTTTTCTACTTACCATTTGCAGGTGGAATGATAGCTCCCAAAGTTCTTCATTGAGGAAGAAGCTTTCAAATAGCAGGTAGAACTGACAGTTCATACAGTTTAACACTTAAAAAAAAAATTAGGCATAAGAGAAGGGAACATGCATCTCGCCTTAATTTTCAACAATGGAGTGTTGAAAAAAATTTATGAGATCTCCACTTAAGTGTAGAGATCTAAAATTCCGGAACTGGATACCCACGGAATTTAAGGAGCTTCTGAACTGAAGTTCTTGTTACTATACTTGCTAAAATTTACATCCAGTATCTGAGCATTCTTAAATTTTTGAGCGAGTCTGGCTCTGAAATTTTTGCCGTGAGCTCATTTAGCTATTTGTCAAAGCAATGATGAAATATATGACTTGAGTAGCCTTTACAGTGAGCTACAGCAAAATGGTAATCAGTTCAGTTTTCAGTCCTTCAATACATGCATTTTCAGTTTCATCAGTGTAAAAAGCTGAATAAATAAAAAGAAAGCAATTAATAGCAATAGAGATGTAATGTTACAGTTTACTTTATGATCTGTGGACAGTCACTCCAGGCTTTTGCTTTCCTCTTGGCTAATGCAAGCCAGGCTGGTTCTGTTGACACAGGGTTAGCATCAGGAGTAGAGAATCTCTTGGCTACCTCCTTTGCCAGCGGGGTTGACGGAACAGAATCTGAAATTTCCACTGGTTTTGATGGGGTGTGGAGGGAAGAGAAAAACAAACATTAGTTGAACCCTGTACTTTGTTGCAGGATTCTAGAGATTTTGCTTCCTTTCTGTGAAGATATTCTGATCTAAAACTTCGTATTTATTCCCAACTCTTTTAGTTAAATCTTACTTTTTATTGTATTTGCAAAATAATCAAGTTAGGAGGAGCTGAGTTTCCTTTTTCAGAGGTGACTCCAAGTAATGTAACTTACAAAAATAGGGACAAAATTTTCAATCTCTCTGAGATCCAGAGAAAACATTTCCAATTTGCCAGTCGTCATCATCTTTACATAAACTATTTTAATTCCATCTGCAATGTAGCAAACAATGGGAAATAAAGCCGCATTTTTTTTTTTCTCTTTGCAGCTGCTGAATACATGTAACCCAACTCTATTCAGTAGGATTTAGATTCCCTCTTCAGATGAGAGGTCTTAAATAAGCACAGGGAAGAAAGCAGTCCTCAGTTAACCACTCCTGTGAGACTATCCTGAAGAAGAAATGAACCAGCTTTCTCCAATCACTGTTTGTCCCATTTTTTGTTAAAATAGTGTATTTAAGACAAAGAGCTGTCTCAGCAAGAGAATGTGTTGAATAAGCAATTGATTTCTAACAAGCAACTTTACAGAGCAGAACTGTAGAAATGTATTGTAGAAGTCAGGTGGGAAGATTGTTTAATTCTAGGACTGTGAATGCCCTTGAAGACAGCCCAATTGAAATGACTCCTATCTGAAACCTATGGAGTGTCTCTAAAAATCTTAGTCACAAAAAACCTCCTCACTAATCCCCCCTTACACATTTTATTTTTTATGAGCCAAAAAGCTATTTCAGTCCAAATTACTTTTAGTGGCATTTCATTTTCAGGTTTTGAATGTTTTAAAAAGCTTTAAAATTGCACGGATGGCAAACATTTGTTTTTCTTTTTAGTACATCTTGTCCTTTTAGCTATAAGTAAATGAACAGTAGCAGCCACTATTACTGTAGACAGACACTTTGAAAAGCTAATTATTTTAAAGGTTATGGTATTTTTTGCTATTTTAAAGATTATACCCTCATCAGTTCCTGTTGTACAAGTCTGAAATATATCAGCTTCTTCAAGCTTTGGGTGTTTTTTGAATGTCCTTAGAGGAGGACTCAGCAAACTTTTATTTTAAACATGTTCTAGCCTGGTCTTCTGCCTTAAATGCTCTCCTGATTGTGGGATACCCAAATCACTGTCATCATTCATAATAAATAAATACTTGTATATAGTATATTTGTGCAGTTGGTAGTGGCTACCTGGCTCCAAATGTAGCCAGTAATCATACGGAAATCCAGTCACTATTTCCTTTAGGGCCAACATAGTTCTATGCTTTCACTTTAGGTAATTCAAAATTGGTCATCCCTCCTGGAACTCTCATTCTAGTGCAGACAGACAGACCAACTGACCAAGGATAACTGGGGTTTGGCCCTTTTTCGATTTAATTTGGCATCATCTTTTGTGCTAGAGTTTGACTTCTGCTAAAAGTTTAACTGAAGTGACAGATACAGCAGTAGGTTCTGGTTCCAACCTTCCCTACCAAATACTTGACTGGGAGGGAGAAGTCCTAAATTCAAAGCAACAGGCTACCTTCAACTAAATTGATATTTTTTTTGCATTTTGAACGAAACAAGAATATTCCTCCCAAATATTCTGGGGTGAGTATTTCTCCTTGGCAAACTGAGAGGTGTGGGAACACAATATGCTTCATTTCCTACACAAATACACTTTGTAGAAGTGTCATCCCCCCTCTGCGCTAACCCCCAACCTAAAGGCAAAACAGTACTGCAATTGCAATTTACAGTAAATCAAATCCCCCTAATGTGCATTAGTCATGTTTCAAAAATACAGTTGGATATGGCTTGGGGAGACAGCCAATTTTTTTTTTTTTTTTTTTTTAACTGGGGCATTTCTAAGCAAATGCAGTAGTGCAACTTTAAAAACATGTTAAAGTTGTGTACATCCAGTGTAATGGACAACGCATGAGACTGGGACAAGTTGCGTTGCTCCTTGCTGAAAGCAAATGCATTTGTAATTCTAGGGGTAGTACAGGAGAAAAAAAATATTATTTTTCTCAAGAACATGCGATACCATTTCTGAAGTGGATTATTCCTAGAGTGAATCTCAATCTCTCACTGTACCTGTCACAGAAGTTGGAAGAGTGTTCGACTTTTTTAGCTGTTCCCTTCTTTCTAGTCTTGACACAGCAGTCTCAATCTTCTTCTCCCCTTCTTGAGTTGAAGATTTCTGCAGTGTGCTTGTTTTGCTGCTGCTGCTTTTATTATCTGACTGATTACTTACAGCAGCCTAGAACAGAGAAGGAAAACTGCTCTATGAGAAAAAGTCTGTCATGTAACAGCTACAAGTAAGAGATGTCACACTTGATGCTTTCATTCATCGCCTGTCCGTTCCTTAACCTTCCTTTTCAGCAAAAGACCAAAACACTCTGATACTTCTAAAACTAATGGTTATTACAGACTGTAAAAATCCCCCCCACAAAGTTAAATTTGTCAGCTTGTCATTTCAGTCAAAATATTGAACAGTTTGAGCCAACCCTACCTGTTAAATACAGCACTGAAACACAGTGTGCATCTCTGAGCAACTTCTCGCCCACTGCCGTTTTCTTCCACCAATTATCTACAGCTGTAATTATGCACGTGCCCATCAGAAATTTGGGTCTCATAACAAACATCAAAATATACTTAATTATCCACATAACCTCTCTTTTTACCATCTGTGGTATCTATATAGAGCATCAATGCATGTGTAGCATCACTTCTGTACTGTAAGTAGAAGTGGTTTTCTTACCAATAGAAAACCATGGATAGTAAATAGCTATTTAGAGCACAGGAAAGAAGTGATACTTGAATTCAGTGCTTGCTTTAGGCATTTGGATGTTTTGCATGATGGTTCATTTCTTTCATTCATCTACATTTTATCCAAACAAAAGATGTTACAATAAAAATAAATTCAAACTTACTAAGATTCACCTACATTAATGTATGAATTAGTATTCCAGCTATTATTCCCTAAGGATTAAGGCTTAACATCTTATTTACTCAAGCTTTGAAAGAATCATGTTGAATACAGTTTTTCTGTTCTATCACCTGCATAGTTGTCGTGCTTATGGTTGCCATGAACTACCACCTGATATTAAGGCATCTGAGTTTACACAAAAATTGTCACACTACTGCACAGTATTTTCTCCTGGAGGTCTTTATTTTGCAAAAGGGAACTCCAGACTTTCAGACTACTTTTTACTCACTGTCATTTTAGCTTTTATGAAAGCTTACAAACCAAACATAAACCAAAATTCCCTTTCACATAATAAAACTAGCTAATGGTTATAATTATGGTATCAGTATTACTAATGGGCAGGTTTCTAAAGATTGTTTACATTTTCTTTAGCCAACTTCTCTGCTTGCTTTGCCTCTCTGGCTTGTCTCCTCTCTTCCCTTGTAGCTTGCTGCTCACGAAATCCCTTTTGCTTTTGCAGCGCTAAAGTAATCCAAAGTGGTTGTGATGTTTCAACTTTTTCCATCACTTTAGATCCATCTAAAGAGTGCCTGCTCTGGAGGACTGGTTTTTCTGAAAGAAAACATGAAAATAATTGGTTAAGTAATGCACATCTCTGGTCTCAAGTCTGTACGACTTGTCTACCTTGTGAAAACTCTGGCGCTAAGCCCATTGAATGCCAAGCCACTCACAGACCTTCCTGGACTCCATGTCAATCCTGAAACAGTTTTTATGCCTCAAGAATAAGATCTAATTCAACACACTCACACACAGCTGTCCAAATTTATCCTTTTTTTTGTGAAAAAGCCTATCCCAGACACTTAAAGCTATAGCCTAATTTACTACAGAGCTACTCCCACTACATGAGATATTTAAGTAAAAGTGGTACATATGCATTGATTGTTTATACCTCTGATGAAAGGGATGAAATACCACTAGGTACTGCAGTTCCCTGGTTTTCCAGCCGTAATTAGGGGAAGAAGAGTGTCCAAACTTCAGTCAAAAGAAGGGAGCTGAAAATATGTGCTCCTGTAAATGCAGCCCTTCTTTAAAAAATGGTTGTGGGTTTTTTTTTTAAATTGCCACTGAGCATTTGACTTTCTGTACCCTGCATGAAATTGGGGCTTGCACCCAGCATAGAGCTGTGAGCAGCAGGGAGCAGCACTGGGGTGCAAAGGTGCTCTCAGTGAGCACAGAAACCCTCACCTGACCTGGGACCTGCTCTCCCAAGCCAGCAGCTCTTGCTTCCAACTAGTTTCCATAAATCCTCGTTTAAAAATGGACATGAAAGGAAAAAGTGTAAAAAATTGTAAAAAAATAAGCAGTAGTTCCACTGAGATAGGGTTTTAGAAGTGTCTTGATGCTTGCAAAATTCAAGAATGGAAAAAATTTGGGATTTCCCAATTAAATGCCGAATTCCTGCCTTGCTCTTCTGAGTGTCCTTACTCTGAAGGGGTAATTTTTCCCCTTGTACGGAATACTATTTCAGGACACAGGGACTTTCAACCCTCCTCTGAAGAGCCACTATAGTTACTGTAATTGTTTTATTACTGAAGAATGCCTCTAATATGCAGGCTCCTGTGCCCAGCTATATTGGGTTAGCTACAGAATTTGCCTGGGACAGGCACTATAGGGGACCTAGATCTTCATATTTTTTAAGCTAGGTAATATTCCCTAAAAAATAGAAACAATATAATGTAAATTATAAAAATGATTACCCCTGCTCTGATGACACCATTACACATGTAACGTAGAGTCCATTCATGCTCTAACTAGGTAACATCTCTACCAAGGAAAACACACATAAACTTCAGTTACTCCTTGAAATTAACCTTCTTAAGTAGGTCGCACTGGTCACGCTCAGTTTGTGTGTTTCTGAATTAAATTGCGGTGATGGGAAGTGCCATTCCTTCAGAAAACTCTAAGAAAAGTAGTGGTAGTCCACAGGTAAAAAAATATAGCTTAAGACCAAATGTCTTCCTCTGGACCTCCAGCATCTCATTTTGGAAAAGCAGACAATAGCTAAACGACCTTTGACAAATACATACCTTTCTTCAGCGGCTCAGGCTTTTTGTCATTTTTTTCTCTCCACGGAATACTTATAGATGGGAAAAACGACTTCTTTTCTCTGATTTCTTCCTCTTCATTTCTGTACTCATTGGATGGTGTGGGGTGCACTGCATTTGTTCTGTCTTCTTTTCTCCAACCACCATCCGATTCAGCTTTAACCAACCTTTGTCCTACTGTATCAGCTAGGTTTGACCTGTTCATTTTAGAGAGAGGAGACGATGGCGGTGTCTGGCTGGTGGGCTTTGGAGCTAAAGCAGGTTTCTGTGGGACCAGTGACTTGCCTGCTGGTTTCTCATGAGGAGGGGGTAAAGCACTCTGGCTGGTGGCTGGTAGGACCGCTGGTGTGCCCACTGGTTGTGAAATCTCCACTACAGTAATTGAAGAGTCTTTTGAGTCTTTTAAAAAGCCAGTGACGTTCGCTCTCCCCGTGCCAGGGGATGTAGTCTCTTGTGGAGCAAAAACAGAGGATTCTTTCTCACCTTCTGTTGTAACTAGTGGGTCAGGCACACCATCAAAACTATCTCCTGCACTGTATCTTTTCTTTTTCCTTTGCTCTGCCTGTTGATCATAATGGAAACGTAAAGAGTAGTTTGTCCTCCGTAACTTTATCCCAAAAGGAGAAACATTTTCTTCTGCATTTGGTGCTGGTTTGTCTGCTTTTTTTGTGGTGTTACTCTGCTCATTTTCCAGAGCACTGGGAAGTCCTGCCTGGGGTAATTCTTTACTCGGAGAATGAGGAAAGCTTGGAACAAGGAAAGATGGAAGATCTTTCGCAAATTTACAGCCTTCTGTGTTGTCTGTCATTTCACGATGGGTTTCCATTTTTGCCTTAGCCTTTTCAGCTAAGTGATCCTTAAAAGTGGAAGCCACATCCTCCTTCGAATCACTGGATGAGCCAGTGATTCTTCCCTCAGCCACTGTTTCATTGCCTTTTGCCGCACTTAGGTTTTCAACATCTGAACTGGTTTTTGAAGCTTCTGAAAATTTCTGCCATGCTGGCGTTATCGAGAACTTTGCATTTGCAGAGAGGGTTTTCCTCAAGTTGCCATGAGGAGCACCCCGTCCTCGGGGTGTCCAGTCATCACTGTGTCTGCAGACACTCACTCGGTCTCTCTCATTGTATTTGCTGTTTTCTGCGTTCTTTAGGATCCTGGAGCGGATGGAAGCCCACTCAGCTAGTACAGCCTGGTTGTTCAATGTCTCTTGTGCATATTTCATTTTACTGTTGCTGGGTTTGGGATCCTGGGTTTTTTTCTGAGCTTTCTCTGGTGAAGGAATATCCACATTTTTTCTCTCTTCCGTTAAGCCAAGTAATGATTTACAAGCCGTGTCCTTTATCTGGTTCAAGTTAACTGCTGTGCCACACAGCTGTGCTCCAGTAACCAAAATAGCTGTATGGGGTACACACACAGAAGACGGGAGCGTATGAGAGCCCTTGCTGGAAGCGTGCATCCTGTAGTCTTTGACAGATGGGGAAGAGTGTCCTGCTCCTTTGACGGGCATGACTGGACTCAGGTTTACTTTCTGAAATATGATCTGTTTATCTCCAGAAGACACTTGAAATGTGAAGGGTCTAGATGCAGTCTGTCTTTCATCTACCTCTTGCCACCTAAGTTCTTCGCCTATTCGCTTTTGCTCCTGAGCCTCAACTTCTCTCTTCAGTTTCTGGGCTAGGACTTCTTCTGCTGTTTTATTCCCTTCTTCTGGCTGTTTGAGTTTTTGGGATCTTGTTCCTTCTTGGAGCTTCTCCTCTACTGGATGCCTGTCAGCCCCTCCAGAACACAATTGATCCTTGTCCTGTTGCTGTTCCAAGGATTTTTCTTGTTGGATTTGCTGAAGATTTTGTCCTTCTGGGTCTACCTTCTGCTCTTCCAGCTTGTTCCACTCTTGTTCATTTTGTTCCTTTTGCTGCTTCAGTTCATCTTGTTGCAGACCTTCTGCACTTTCCATGTGCATTTGTTTTGTGAGCTTGTGTTTTCTCTGCTCTTCCCGTTTCTTTTTCTTATCCATTACTTGCTGGGGTTGTTCCTTCTCTGTCTTTTCTCCTTTCTCCTTCAAATGCCTTTGTTCCTCCTGTTTCTTTTGTTGTTTGAGGCTCTCAGCTTCTTTCTCCTGCTTCAGTTTTATTTCAGCTTCTTGAAGCTCCTTCTCTTCTAGCTCTCGTCTCTGTTTTAATTCCTTATTTTGTTCCTTGAGTTCTTTTTGCTCCTCCAGCCAATTTCTTTCGTCTCCCTCTTGACACTGTTTTTCGATCTTGTGTTGCCTTAATTCTTCCAGCTCTAGCCTCTTCTGCTCCTCCAGCTCCTTGCACCTCTGCTCTTCCCATTCCTGATGCTTCTGTTCCTCCAACTCCTTACGTCTCTGCTCTTCCTGTTCCTGGCACTTCTGCTCCTCCAGCTCTTGTCTCTGTTGCTCCTCCCATTCCTGGCACTTCTGCTCCTCCAGCTCTCGTCTCTGTTGCTCCTCCTGTTCCTGGTGCTTCTGCTCCTCCAGTTCTTGTCTCTGTTGCTCCTCCCATTCCTGGAGTTTCCGCTCCTCCAGCTCTTGTCTCTGTTGCTCCTCCCGTTCCTGGTGCCCCTGCTCCTCCAGCTCTCGTCTCTGTTGCTCCTCCAACTCCTTCTGCCTCTGCTGCTCCCGTTCCTGGAGTTTCTGCTCCTCCAGCTCTTGTCTCTGCTTCTCCTCTTTTTCCTGGTGCTTCTGCTCCGCCAGCTCTTGTCCCTGCTGCTCCTCCAACTCCTTCTGCCTCTGCTTCTCCAGTTTCTGCTGCTTCTGCTCCTCCAGCTCTCGCCTCTTTTCAGCCTCCAGCAGTCCTCTCTCCTCTTTAGGGCATGTTTGCTCTTCTATTTCCACAGATGTCTCTCCTTCAAGGAGATACTGCCCCCTCTCTTCTTCACAATGCCTTCTCTCCTGCTCTTTCTGAATCTGCTCAAGTTCTTGGCACCTTTGTTCTTCCATTTCTCTTTGTTCTTCCATTTCTACTATCTGCCTTATCCTTTCAGCCTCAAAGATCCCCCAGTGATCTTCAATTCTTTTCTCCTCTGCCAGCTGAAGGTGCTTCTGCTCATCTCTGTTCTGGATTAGCTTGTCTGCTATGATGTGTCCATTATACCCTGGGTATCTGTCTCCATATACCTCAGTTTCTAGGTCCTCTGGCTCAAATTCTGTTATTGTTAAACTTTGTGATCCCTAAAATTGGAAATTGGGAGACAAGTTTGAAGTTACTGAATATTGTCTATTGGCTTGTTCTTTACAGTGAACAATCAATCACAAATGCAAAACAACTTTTTTTTTTTTTAAACAGCGATTTACATCCAGAGCCAACACACCCACCCCAATTTATGGATCACATCATCATAGATCTCATGCCTCTTACCTATTCAGATGATAGCCTTTAAAAGAAAGAAAACATCCTAAGAGTGACAACAGTGTAACGTTAAATATTGAATCACTATTTGGTGCGCACAACATAATCCAGAGTGGGACCTACCATTTCAAATTTGCAGAAGCCCAAGGAATAGAGCACAAGTTTCATATGCCTGTTCTACTACTTAGAACTCCATCCTTTAAGCCTGAAATAATTAGCACCTGCTTAAGGGCATTGTTTTGCCAGTTCTGTCATGGCAAATCTAGCTGTTACTTGCAGAGACAGAAGCTGTTGCCTGCAGAAAAGAGCTCTGAAATGCTAGCCAGGAGAGAACACTGCTCAGGGTAACACAATTTGGTTGCATTTCACAAATCCCAAGCCAGGATATCTTCCTCATTATCTGTGCTGAGATTCCAGTTCTATTGCAGGAACCGTGGGACCATGCAAAGACAGAGAACCTAGAGCTCCCCAGCAATACTGTACTGTACGGAGGCATGTGCTAACTGCTGGCTGGTTCTCCGTACTTGCCCTGGCATGTGGGTGCAATACCTGCATTAAACTGAATGCAAATTTTCTTCATAGCTTACTCCTTGTCTCTGTAGTGACATGGTCTGAAGGTGAACTGCACCTGAGGACTGTTTCCCAGCACTCTCTATGAGGAGAACAGCTCAGCTAATGCCCTGACTAGCTCATTTGTTGAGCCATCATTCGGCTCCAGTTAAACATCCTGTATAAACAAGAGGTTTAAATTTAATTTCTTCATTGCAAGAGAGATAAATGCAAGTACAATGGTGCAGAAGAAAGGACAGCGGCCTCTCCTGAACCCTGTATTAGATGAATAGTCTTGTCCCGTTTACAAGCACTGGTAAGATGTCAGGATAAAAAGCAAAGTAGCCATGCAGTAAGTATACAAAGCAAGGGTTTGATAATTCATTCTAACTGTAGCAAGAGCTGTGTTACTTAAGTCTTATTCTTTCTCATATGACAATGGTATTATCACTGTCAGAACTCATGCCAGTTTTAGAGATTATTTTTTTCCGACCATATTTTGCACTATCTGATTGCCTATACCAGAGCAGCATTAACAGTGGCAGATAACCTTCAGACCTTTATTTTTTTACTAGAAAAACTAGAATCAGAAAGCTCTCCTAGTGTAAAATCCTAATAGAAATACCTCAGGTATAAGTAGTATTTGTCTCAACTGGCCATACTAAAACTTCTTTGCATCTTCTCTCCAGCTAGAGTTTCATCTTTATCTTGAATTCAAGACAAAATGTAAGATGCCTGCATTTTGCTTTGCCCTGAAGACACAAGATTTGTTGGAGAAGCTTTCAATAGCTATCTCTAACAGTGTTAATCACATCTTCAGACAGTCTTCTGTCTATAGCTACTCCTGGTGCACTCAGTTATGGTTATTTTGTACCCAGCTTCAAAAGCAACCCCCCTCCTCTCACCATTTGACCAGTGATTCAATACCTTTGTTAATCTCTTGTGCTTTCTTGACATCCTCTGCTTTTTTGGCTTCACTGACAGCTTGTGTTTAGCTGCACTGTTGTCTAGGCGAGCAACAGCCTGGGGAACTGCATCCAAATTGATTGTTTCAATTGTGCCAGAACAGGAAAATTGTCTTTTTGGCCGAGATGATTTGACTGGAGTGACCTGTTTGTATCACAAAACCAGTAAGATACTATTAAACTATTTGTTCCATTTAAATAAATGAATGAATGAATGAATGAATGAATGAATAAATAACACACACACGTGCACAAAACGCCCTTGCCATTTTGAATTCAAAGAAGTTATTAGCAGAAAATATTTCAAACCTTGTTTTTCCATTATACAAATCATGAACTTTGGACATGAAAGTTACAGCTGTAATATTTTCCTATTTCCAGTACTACATGTTTTTACATTTTTCACTTAAAAATTAGACTATTCTAACTGAAGTTTTTTCACAGTTTAGCTCCACTCAGAAGTTGTTGAGAATGGGAAGGGCATAGGCAGACTTTTAAGCAACATCAAACACTGGGACACTTTAAAGTTTGCTCAGTGTGTTAAAAATATCTACATCTTTAAATAATTTAGCTTATACACTTTAGGCAAGAGCAAGTCAGATTGAGTTATCTAAGCATTCTAACAGAACACCTACAGAGCTGCACTATCTGCATGGGAGATGACTACGGTATTGGATCTCAGACTGGCACAGTGCCTGCGGAAAACCTTCCCTCCACAGCCACGTGGAGTTGTCCAAGCCAGCACCAAAGAACAGCAAAAAAACCCCCAAGACAATACTGGCTTTGATTGGTGCTTTTTTCTCTTGCCCTTCAAATATTTGGGTTCAGAAAGTGCAAATACAAAGTGATTTAGTGAGACTCCTCTCATGAATAAATACAGTGGCACTGTATGTCTAGACATGTAAGAGTGAGCCTGTAATCAGTCTCTCCCATAAGTCACTGAACTATCATCCTGAGACTGCTATTTGGCACAATCCAGGTGGAAAAAGAAGACAGTAAAAAAAAAAAAAAAAAAAAAGAAGGGATAAAACATCTTCTGTAAGGAAAGAAAATCACATACATTGTTTTCAAGACAGCTCTGTAATCTTCCGAGGTTAAACATATGCTAATTAGGGAACCAATTACTTAAAAGCTGATGGAGCATTTTGCATGTGCTTATTGAATTATATGTAGGCATAACAAAGTAGTAGAAGTACTTATGAAAATTATGGCTCTATGATTAATACATCAAATGCAG